CTCTAATAGGACACACTTCTGCATATTCTTGCAAATTAATCTAGAATAGTCTTAAAAAGAAAAGCAATCTGGAATGCACAAGAAAAACTGAGAGTTTTAACCTGTCAATGTTGCAGAGGCTTAAGTTTTCCCTGCAGTGGAAAAGTAAATCACTGTGCAACAGGTCTATATTTACTTAGAACAAGCTTGCTTTTCTTAGCAATTTCCACAGGACTCTTTACAGTACTCTAAACTCAAGTTTCAATATTCTTAAAGAGCTTCAAACATTTTTTTCCAGCCTCTTAACAAGACTTAAAAAGTAGGTTACATTTGAGAGCATGGAAGTACTAGAAACATCACTGATTTTAGCAGGAGCCTACATTAAAAAAAAAAAGACAAATTCAGTAGTGTTTTGCATTTCCTGCAACACATTTTCACACTAGGGAAGCATCACAGATGACATCTCTACAAACCTAGGTCCAGATTTTGAAGGTCAGCAACAGAAAGGCTTCTCTATGATCAAGAGGTAATCCAATCCCTAACCACACATACAATTAAATTGTTCAATTGAAAAGCACGTAGTATTTCCGCAACGTTAAGCATCCATGACCTCAGTCACTATGCAAGTCTAACTTTAAGCTTAGGTAGGAGAAGTGTGAGCCACCTAAAAGGACAATAAACAAAAATGTTATTATTTAAATAAATTTTAAAATAAGCAGGCATAGCTGATATTTGTTTCCGGAAGTCAAACATACTTCAACTATGGCAGAACATTCAACAGCAGCATTACTTAAACTGTTGCGAGTGTTGCCCTATCTTCCACTTTTACCGGGTCAGCACAACTGTTTGTCACTGCATGGTGAACTGGATCTGGAAAACCAATCTTGCTGGTAAATGGCGTGGCAAAACCACTAGTTTATTTTTGGCTAAATTAGGCCTCAGATCTAGCTCAACATGCAACCTCACATTTATGCCAGCACAACGGAGAAAACGCTGCAAAGACAGGCTAACACCAGCACCATAGCCAAGAAAGCCACAAACCCATGCCTTCAGAGTAATTTCAATTTCCAATGGCCATCAGTATTACAAATTATTTATCACAACCCCTGCTAAGCTCCACAGTCATCACAAAACACTGAGCTGACAGGAAGCTCTCATCTTCAGATATGTGGGCTACACAGCTCAGAAAGATCAGCTTTTGGATGGGAAAACAAGTCTTTAACACTGTGGCTGGAGAACATGGGAAGGGTGCTGCTGGTGGTCCAGCTCACTGTCTTAAGAACTGACATTCTTCCTGTTCAGAACTGCTGGTCAAGCGCTTTATAAATGCTGACCAATTTCAATCTCTTCCTTGTAAGTAAAGGCGGTGGGGTTTTTTTTTTGTTCATGGAAGAAAATTATGAGATAAGGATCAATGTCCCTTACACAAAAGGGTAAAATTAATCTTTATTTGAAAACAGTGAAGTGATTTTCAAACTTAAAACACTTTTTGTCTAAATGTTACAAAGCCTCTCCAAAGTACACACTGGCTATTTATTCATAGTTGGTAAGCAGCAGCAAGAAACTAGCTTTCCTTAAGGTTCTCATTTTCCTGAAACCCTAATACACAGTCTTCTGCTGCCCACTCCTCGTGACACACAAGCATGTGGGATTAGAATAACAACTATACTTGGACCGCTTCCAGCTGCTTCAGTTCTTTACAGAAGTGCAGGCTGGGACAACGTTTATAAAATACAGCATCATCTCATAAACATAACCTAATACCTAGAAAAAGAAAAAAGTGCTTAATCATCATGAAAACTATAAAAAGGCTTGAAGAAAAGTATCATTTCGATCGAGCAAGATGACATAACCGGAAAAAGCCAATTTCGTTTGCAACATGCCTCGAGTCTTACCGCTCACGCTGTTTTCTTGTTTCAGCTGCCAAACTCCCGAGCAGCACATCTGCTAGCTTGCAGATCCTCACCCCAGGTTAGCGACCCCGCGCCTCCTAATCGCAAGGTCTCTCACCGCAAGCCCTGCGTCTGCCTTCAAACTAGACCTCCACCGCTCCCCGCCCGCCAGGAGGGCGCTCCGCCGGCCGGCGCGGAAGGCGCG